TTTTCTCCCATGTGTAGGGAAAAGTGGAATCTGCTCCCTCCTACCTCATCGCCATCTTCTTCCTCCTGGATTCTTTATTTGAGATTTTTTTCTTTTTAAAAAAGATTTTATTTATTTATTTTTAGAGAAGAGGGAAGGGAAGGAGAAAGAGAGGGAGAGGGAGAGAAACATCAATGTGTGGTTGCCTCTCACGCTCCCCCATCTGGGGAACTGGCCTGCAATCCAAGCATGTGCCAAGACAGGGAATCAAACCAGCAACCCTTTGGTTCACAGGCCCATGCTCAATCCACTGAGCCGTGCCAGCCAGGGCAAGATCTGGTAACAAAAGATCTTTCTTTTTTCTTGAGATAGGCCTATATGGCTATGAATTTCCCTGTTACTACTGCATTTGCAGTGTTCCCTAGATTTGGGGTGGTCGTGTTTTCATTTTCATTTGTCTCAGGGTATCTTTTGATTTCTTACTTGATCTCATTGTTTAGTAGCCTGTCATTTAGTCTCTATATGTTCATGTGTTTTTCACTTTTTTTCTTGTAGTTGACTTTTAAGTTTGTATCATTGTGATTGGTGGAGATGCTTGATATAATTTCAATATTAAATTTATTGAGACTTGTTTTTGAGTCTTTCGCATATGTTGTATCCAGAGAATGATCCGTGTGCATGTGAATAAAATGTGTGTTCTGCTGTCATGAAATGCTCTGAAAATATCAATTAAATCTATCTGATCTAGTGTGTAATTTAAGGTTGCTGTTTTCTTGTTGGTGTTGTGTTTGGAAGATTTAGCTATTGATGTCTATGGGGTGTTAAAAACACCTAGTATGACAATTGCTGTTAATCTCTCAATGTTCATCAAGATTTCCTTTCTATATGTAGGGGCTCCTGTATTTGGTGTGTGAATGTTTACAATGGTTATATTTTCTCTTGAATTGAGTCTTTTGTAATTGTGAATTGTCCTTCTTTGTCTCTTATTATGGCCTTTGTTTTAAAGTCTGTTTTGTCTAATATATGTCCTGCTACCCTAGCTTTTTATTCATTTTCATTTGTGTGAAATGTCTTTTTCCATTCTTTTTAGTTCCAATCTGTGTATATCTTTTAGTATATCTTTTATTCTGACATGGGTGTCTTGTAGACAGCATATATATCGTTCTTGTTGTTGTTGTTTTTATTTTCACCTAAGGATGTTTTTATTGATGTTAGAGGGATGAAGGAAGAATGTGAGAGAGAAACATTGATCAGTTGCCTCCTGTATGCACCCTGAACAGGGGTAGAACATGCAACATGGATATGTGCTCTGACCGGGGATCAAACCACAATCTTTTTGGTGTATGGAATAGTGTTCCCACTAATTGAGTCTCCCAGCCAGGGCTGAATCTTGTTTTTTATCCATTCAGCTACCGTATATCTTTTGATAGGAGCATTTAAGCCATTTATATTTAAGTTGATTATTGATAGGTATGCATTTATTGCCATTTTATCTTTTAACTATGTTGTTTATTTCTTTCTCCTCCTTCCCCTCCTCCCAGTCCCTTCAACATTTCTTGCACTTCTGATTTAGTGGTAATAAATACCTTTAGCTTTTTCTTGCCTGGGAAGCTCTTCAGTTCCCCTTCAATTTTAAATGTTAGCCTTGCTGGGTGGAGTAATCTTGGTTGTAGGTCCTTGCTTTTCATCACTTTGAATATTTCTTGCCAATCCCTTCTGGCCTGAAATGTTTGTTTTTGAGAACTCAACTGACAGTCTAATGGGAGCTTCATCCTTGTGGGTAACTAACTGCTTTTCTTTTGCTGCTTTTTAAGACTCTCTGTTTTTCACATTTGCCGTTTTATTATGATGTGTCTTGGTGTGGGCTTTTCTGGATTCATCGTGTTTGGGGCTCTCTGTGCTTCCTGGACTTGTGTGTCCTTTTCCTTCACCAGATGCAGGGAATTTTCAGTCATTATTTCTTCCAATAGGTTCTTGATCCCTTGATCATTCTCTTCTCCTTCCAGTACCCCTGTAGATGTTGTTATGCTTGATGTTTTTCTAGAGATCCCTTAAACTATTCTCATTTGGGTTTTTTTTGCTGCTCTGCTTTCTGCTTTGTCTTCCAAATTGCTGATTAGATCCTCTGCTTCATCTAACCTGCCATTCTTTCTAGTGTATTCTTCTTTTGGATATTATAGTCTTCATTTATGCTTGGTTCATTTTTATGGTTTCTATGTCCTGTTTTGTTTACTATCTCTGTAAATTCTCACTGAGTTCATCCATTCTTCTCCATTCTTTGAGCAGTCTTATAAGCATTGCTTTGAACTCTGTATCTGGTAGATTGCCTACCTCTGTTTTATTTAGTTCTTTTTCTGAAGTTTTCTTCTATTTTATTGGGGCATGTTTCTTTGTCTTTCCTTGTGGCAGCTTCTCTATGTTTGTTTCTGTGTATTAGGTAAAGCTACTATGCCTTGTGGTTGCTAGGGTGTCCTTAGGTTAGTGGGTGTCCTGTGGGGGCTCAGTGATAGAGTCTCCTTGGTCACCTGAGCCGGGTGCTCCAGAAATGTCTCTTTTATGGGTTGTGTGTCACCTCCTATTGTTGTTGAGTATTGATTGCTATTGGCTCCTTCATTAGTGTATTTGACCCTTGGGCTGGCTGGCTGTGAAGATCAACCCCAATGGCAATGTACAAGCACCTGTGTGGGGACTGACCCCACTAGCAGAATTCACCCCAACAGTCTTTTGTTTGCCAAGATCTCCCTTTGGACCTGCTGCTTGTGAAGCTAAGTGGTTCTTGCTTTGTGATCTGAATTCCTCCACTTTATGTGTTGGTTCTGGGGCCTTGTGGAAGGAACTGTGATGCAGATCAATGTCAAGGCTACCTGTTTGATGCTACAAACCAATCCCCCCAGTTTGTGGCTCTTCTGCTGGGTCTCACTGTGCATGGGAGAGGCCAAGCTGGTGACCAGGGCCAGCTTCCACTAGCACTGAGCCTGGAAGCAAGTCAGCAAAAGTCCCAAGGCACCCCGTGATCTGCCTCCACCTGCTGGCTGACTATCAGGCTAAGTCACTGAAAGAGCTTCTAACACTCTGGGAGTGCTCAGCCCAGAGAGATGGCAAGTTTTTTGACAGTTGTGTAATGTACATTTTCAGTGAGTCAATAGGAAGGGGAAAGTGGTATTCACAGTACTGATACAGATCAGAATCGGCACCAGTCCTGGGGCTGAGGCCATTTAGCAAAAGTCTCAGGGTATATTGAGGCCACCTTCCACCTGCCAGGTGCCTGTGGGTTTTTGTGGTGTGGTGGGGTCTCGGAGTCATCTGCTGGTGCTGAGGCCAGCCAGCAGAGTTTTTCAGGCCCAAAGAGACCACAATTTTACCATATGATAGGAGGGCTCTGCATAGGATTGGTAGCACCAGTCAGGCATGTAAGGGGAAAATGGCCTTCACCCTAGAGCCACACAACTTAGTCTGTCCCTGAGTCTGTCCATATCTCCTTGAGAGTCTTCTAAGAGAGTATGCCCCAAAGGCCAGGCTGGCCATAGCCAGCTGACTATTTTTGCAGGGTATCGGTTTGGCAGGTGGGGCTGTGGGGAATTGTGAGGATGGGGCTAGTGGATCTTGGGGGTGGGAGATAGTCCCTGCTCCAGAGCCATACAACTCAGTCTCTGTCACCCACCTTGGGTTCACCCTCAAGAGCCCTTCAGAGAAGTCTACATGCCATGGACTAAGGCAGCTGACTCCTCTATAGTCATGAGCTCAGCAGGGTGCGAGGACAGGGAGTCAGAGGGGAGGGCTAGTTATAGTGCATTCTTGTAGGCTGATGCTGCAGGGAGGGGAGTGCTCAGCCCAGGAGAGATGGCATCTGTGAGCCTTTGGGAGAGGGACTCAACACAGGGGCCCTGGCACCTGTTCCTTCTGCTTTCTTCCTGGAGCCACCCAACCCGGTCTGTCCTCACATAAATCCAGTTCACTACAATCTGCTCTCCCTCTACTGGACACCAGGGTGAATGGCTGCCAATTAGATTTTGTACACTGGCCTTTGAGAGAGGGTGCCTGGGTTTCTAGCGGACTCCTTTCTATCCCTGGCGGACAGAATCCCCACTGATTTTCACAGCCAGATGTTATCATGGTCTTCAGTTCCCAGCTCTGGTGCTCTGGGCTTGGGAGCCTGACATGGGGTTGAGACATCACTCCTCAGAGAGGACCTTTGCAGCTGAAATATCCCTCCAAATTTTCAACAGCTGCACATGGGTGCAGGACCAGTTTTTCTTGCATCTCAGCTGTTCTTATCAGTTTCAATGTGACTTCTGCAAATCCTTGGTTATAAGACTAGTCTTCTGTCAATTATTCAGGTTACTTGTTCTGTATTTTAATTTAATTCCAGTTTGGGCTGGGAAGAATATGAGTGTAACTTTCACCTATCCCTCCACCATCCTGGATTCTCCCCTAAGATTTTTGACAGTACTCTCTGTGGAAAAGGCTGGTTTTAGGAGCCCTTTCAGAGAGAGCTTGCAAGCCTAAAGTCAGCACTCCAGCTCGCTGACCTCCAACACACCCCGTTACATGTGTGACTCCCCCAGCCCCATCAGCCCCATTAGTGGCATTCCCCTCTGACAGACCTCTGCACAGAGTGGCCTGTAACGTCAGACTGTAGCTTCTACCTGACAAAAAATCTTTGTCACAAAGCAAATGGCACTGTGTCCTGAGAAAACAGTGCCATTGCTTTTATGTTGCCCTCCCTTTATGTAATTATACTTTCCAGTGGTTTATTGCTTTAATACCCAGAAGGAAAATAAACTAACCTAAAAGCTTGCTTGTTTTATAAACTGACACTTGAATTTAACATTGACATTTATTTAATCAGTTTGGTCTTTATTTAACATCAAAAGAACGAATGCACCTGTATCCACCCCAGGAAATGAGTTTGGGGGAGGCAGCCTGACTACAATGGGTTAAGCAGTAACTGTGGGGAGCTGTCATACTGTCTTATATGGCTCCCAGACTGTTAGTGCTGACGGCCATGTCCTTGCCCACAGCCATTGAAGCCATGAAGAATGCCCACCGGGAGGAGATGGAGCGCGAGTTGGAGAAGAGCCAGCGGTCCCAGATCAGCAGCATCAACTCAGACATCGAGGCCCTGCGGCGACAGTATCTGTAAGTCAGTTTCCTCCCCTCGGGAAGGTCTGGAGGGTAGCCTTTAAGATGGGAAAGGGTGCCTTTCCTGTGTTTTTGTGGGAGCCACATAGATGGGGTTCCAGAGGGGGGCACTGAGGGCAGCTCAGAGCCTTTTTTCCAGAGGGGCTGAGTGCCATTGAGGGTCAGCAAGCCACTAGTTCTCATGGCCCAAGGGCTTCCTGTTACTAAAACAAACAAACTGATTACCAAACTCCAGAGAATGAAGTACAGCAAAGGAAATTTTATATAATTAGCCATTTTTCAGGACTCCTCTCAGGCCATGCACAGAATTCATTCTATCCGTCAGCTGCTGCCTCCTCAGTAGCTCTCGAGAAAGGAATCTGGTCTTGGGCCTGATACCTGATGCTTCATGACCGTGTGTTGCAGAAGTAACCATGTGCCATACGTTCTTAAAAAAGCGCATGTGCTGATTCTCTTTTTACAAGCAAGAGACTGGAGGGATTACAGCAGCATAGCTGCTCATGTTTTTCCCTCTGAGACCTGCCACTACTGGGAGTCCTTGAATTAGTCACTGTGAAAGCCATGCAGAGCCAGCCTTTACTGGGGTCTTAGTGATATCAAAGAATTGAGGCCCCTGCCTCTACCAGGGCTTCCGTTTAGTGTAGTCAGAGCCAGGGCCAAGTGGGTGGCCTCCTGTGGACTGCTGTCATTCTCATCCTGGCTGGAGGGGGTGACAGTGTGCAGGGCCTGGATGCCTTGCCCTGAGGCCCTGTATCCTCAGCTCTACCCATGGGACATCCAGCCCTTCTCGAGGAGTCTGGGGTGACAGAGAACATCATCATGATGCTTTGATTTTTTTACGGGTGAATAGAGTCTGGGACTGCGTTATCAGACAAAAATTGCCTCAAAAGTTAGAGCTGAAAACAAAGTGCAAATCTGACTTCTCTCAGGAACAAGACATTTGTTTTGGCACAAGTGAATGAATTCTTTCCTGACTTCACAAGAGAGGTATTGTCTGTTGGACTGCTGAGCTACTTGAAAGAGGGTGAGGGAAGGGTACAGAATAGATTTCTATAAACTTAAAGTACTTTTTAAGTTTTCCCTTTAGTTGGGTACAAACTTTTTGAGACAACAAAATGCATAGGGCCTGCTCTGTGTTGCTCAACAGTTCTTTCTCTCGTCTTATCACCCCTCAAGCTTCACAGTGGGGACACAGAACCTGTAGAGGCGGGCTCTGGGGTGGGGAAGAGGCAAAGGAGTGAGTGGTGCCCTGTCCCCAGGGAGGAGTTGCAGTCGGTGCAGCGGGAGCTGGAGGTCCTCTCCGAGCAGTACTCACAGAAGTGCCTGGAGAATGCTCACCTCGCCCAGGCGCTAGAGGCCGAGCGGCAGGCCCTACGGCAGTGCCAACGTGAGAATCAGGAGCTCAACGCCCACAATCAGGTGAGCCCATGCTCAAGCTAGGGGCCAGGCCTCAACTTCAGGGTGGCCCCAACTCTCTACAAGCACTACCCCAACATCTGACATCTGCCAGTGTGTTGACAGAAACTCTCTGCACATGCTGGAGCGGTGGCCACCTGCCACATGAACCAGGTGTTTACACTTGGACTCTAAGATGTCTCAGTTTCTTCTGAGTGTCTCTGAATTTCTGCTTTGTTGTTGCTTGGTAGGGCCTGTCAGGATCATTGCACCCTGTCCGGATCTCCTGTCCCCAAGTCTAGGACCAGGTGTAAATGTCTCCCAGTCAAGACCATATACTGCTCACAGTTATTTTTGTCAGGATATTCTCAAAATTTGCCTACTTCTCAGAAAACTGGGATGCATTTAAAATCCTGGCTAATGGATAGACTAGAGGTAGCTTTAGTTTGATAAAAGCTCTGTGAGTTCCAAATTGGAGCACCATCCTCACAACCCCACTGCTCATATCCCCAGGCACTGAGCAGACATGTTGGCCTGGTTCAGGTGCAAGGCTTCCACAGGCCTATGGCCAACCTGTATGAGGGTGCTCCAGCAGGACTGTTTTCACTTAGTCACTGCAATGGCCTGATGAACATTTGTCAGTTGGAAAGAAGGTACAGAAAGTGAGTGGGAGGAGAGCTGGAGAACCTAATTGTATAGAAACTCAAATGGGACAAACCATGACACAGATTACCACTAGTAATAGTGATAAAAAGATACCAAGGATAGTGGAACCCTGCATACACAATTCTACAAAATACAGTGCCCACACAGGTGGCTTCTACAGGGATATAAATTGCAGGCTGTTAACACCTAAACATGTTAAACCTAAAAAGCTATGGTGTGCACAGGCACTGCTCATGGCTGCCTGTATCTGCTCATTTCTGCTTAGTATTATGAGAGAGCAACCTCTCCTGCTTGTGTTATGTGGTTGAGGCCCCCAAGAATCTCTGTTGAGCATCCCTGTTTTGTTGTTGCTGACCCCAGGAGCTGAACAACCGCCTGGCTGCAGAAATTGCACGATTACGGACACTGCTGACTGGAGATGCTGGCGGGGAGGCCGCTGGCTCGCCTCTCACGCAGGGCAAGGATGCCTATGAATTAGAGGTACTGCTCGGAGCCTGGCTCCCTCTTCACCCAGCTCTGCACTGCACAAGGCCTAAGTGGGGATCAAGGAGTGGCCCAAAGCTTATAGAATCATTGTAGAGATGAGACCTGGAGGCAGCTGGAGGGAGAGAACATGGAAAGATCCAAATCACTCGAAGACAGCCAAAGAAAACAGCTTCCAGGCAGCATGGGACCCCTCTTGTGCTGTGGGGACCTTTAACCCCATTCTTACTCTGCTACTCTCCTCTCCTCTACTTCTGCCACACCACAAACACTGATCACCTAAAACGAAACATTTAATAACTATGTGGACACTGTGGCTGCTTGAGATTCTGTAACACTCTATTATTCAGAATCTGATAGGTTCATCTTAAGGCAGAATGATTGATTTTTATGTATAAGACAGCCTTATACATACAGCAGTTGTGAAAGCACTTAGATTTCTTCCCATTCAATTAAAATTTCATCATGAAAATATCTCTTACTAAAAGATGTGGAAGAGGGGGAGAGTACATTGAACAAAATTTTCAATAGGACATCTTCATGGACAGTCTCAGACTCAGTCCAGGAAATTGCCTTGGTCCCAGGCTGAGGACCCAGGGTCCTCATGTCTAGGAGGAATTGCCACAATTCTTTTCTTCTTCTTTCTGTGTCTTTATGTAATGTTTAAGCTGTTAGTCATATTTAAATTTTATTTGCTGGCATTTTCCATTGTATATTGGTGAGGATGAGAAGAAAGTTGCCTGCTTCTCATTGTGTGGAGGGGAGTTCTCTGCTCAGTCTTTGCTTTAAAGACTCCAAAAGTCCTTTTGCTCTCTCATTCTAGGTCTTACTACGAGTCAAGGAATCAGAAATACAGTACCTAAAACAGGAGATCAGCTCTCTCAAGGATGAGCTCCAGACGGCATTGCGGGTACGGGCACACCCCCACAGGGGTGGATCTGCAGGATGGGCTCAGAAAGGGGTGGGGACACTTGTCTGCAGAGCTCACAGAGGTCCCTGTGCTCAGCAAGTATCTCAGGCTGTTCTAGAATAGACTTTATTTTCATGAGGCATGTTTTCAAATTTGAATTCTCTTGAAAACCCACTTCATGCAGGTTAGGTAAAAATGAGAAGTCTACCTGATCTCCTGTATCTTTGTTGTTCTCCATGTCTCCTTTGTGCTTTGGCAGGACAGTGAGATCTGCGAGAAATGTCATCCTGGGAAGCGAGAGTTCGGTCAGTTGCCAGTGTCCTCTAGGATTCCTTAGGAAATCTAAGACAGAGGGAGTTTTACGGGCTGGAGTATAGTGAGGTCCTTGGTGGTTAGGCTTGACCAGCCCACACTATGCCTGAGCTTGCAAGAGCCCCCCAGGATCCTGTCTTGTGTTCAGATGGAGACTCTTATCTGTGCCTGTTTCAGTTTGTGTCCAGTTTCTGCCTTTGGAAAACCAGGCAGGGCAGCCTGCCTCCCCTGCTACTGATACATTCCCCAGGCAATTGGCAGAAGCATTCCAGCCCCTGGGAGACAGACCGCCTGGCCTGCTTGTAACCACTGTTTTCTCTGACCTTTTATCTTCAAGGACAAGAAATATGCTAGTGACAAGTACAAAGACATCTACACAGAGCTCAGCATCGTGAGGGCAAAGGCTGACTGTGATATCAGCAGGTTGAAAGAGCAGCTGAAAACAGCGACAGAAGCACTGGGTGAAAAATCCCCTGAGAACACCCCTGTGTCAGGATATGGTGAGCAATTCAGGCTCTGGGTTGTGGGGATTTGTTCAGAGTTAACTGGGTTTTGAATGAGAGCAGAGAATTGATTTTATGTTTCTGATTTTAGTCTTATACATCTCCTCACGGAGAGCAGCCAGAGGGACGCTGGCCCATGAGCTGGCATGTGCCCTGGGGTAGGAAACTTGTCCTGTAGGTGCACTGGTGGCAGACACTATGTTGATTGCTTTTAAGGGAAATCACACCATCAATGCATATTTTTATAGTGGTGATAGGTTGCATTTTTCCATTTTCCTAAAGAACTCAACAGTTTGGTGGAGGAGGCTCTCACTAGTTGCTTGATCCTAGAGTTTTACAATAAAATGTGCAGATGGCCATGGGAGGAGGAGCTAGGGGAGGATGCTCCCTAATGAAAAGATGTCTTAGGTCACTAATATCAAAAAATTCAACTTTTTTCTCAGCTAGCCAGAGATTAAGGATAGTGGCTATACTGACAAATGGGTGGAGAGGAAACTGTGTGCATCACTACTGGGATGGTAAGGTAGCAGTCTTTCTGGAAGGAAGTGACACAGAATTTAAAATCCAACTATAAGCTGACTTTGGGTGGGCAAAGAAATGATAAAGTGGCTGCTTCAGAGGAGAGCCCCAGGTAGCCAGGCGACAATGAGAGAGGATGACTTAGAATTAGGGGAAGAATGTATACATCCTGTGACCTACCAGTTTAACTTCTGAAAAAAAAACAGATGCATAGAAATGTGCCAACAAGAATATTTAGCACAGTACATAGGAGCAAAAAACTGATTCCCCCTAAACAGTCTTCTACTTCCATCAAACAGAAGGCCTGTGACATCACTACACAGTGAACTACTATGCAGTTTTTACAAGAGATTCAGTTGAGGAGCTCCTGGTCAAGATGACAGTGTAGATAAACAATGCACTCACCTCCCACCATCATATCAAAATTACAACTAAACTACAGAAGATCCATCCTTCAGAATCTCATGAAGTCAGGCTGAACAGAAGTCCTGTAACTAAAAATATAATGACGCAGCCACACTGAAACTGGTAGGAGAGGCAGAGATGCAGAACATTCTGGTCAACAGCCATGTGTGGTTGATAAAAATCAGAATAGATATCTTAGATGTGGAGGTTCCCTTCTGAGGAGTCAAGAGGCCCAGACCCATACCAGGCATCCAGCCCAGGAATACAGCACTGGAAAGAGAAATCCCAGTAACTTCTGGCTCTAAAAACCAGTGGGGATTGAGGCTGAGTGAGACAGAGGGCTCCTTGAGTCCCAGGAAGTTTCTCTTAAAGGGCCTGTGCAGACTTACTCAGACTCACTTACTCTGAGCTCTAACACTGGAGAGCAACTCAAAAGGTGCCAGAGACATCAAGGAGGAACTGAATTGTCTGGCTTTGGGACTAGAAAAGGAAGGGGAACTTTCTCCCAAGCAGAAGTGCTGGCAGAGGCTGTTGTCACTTTGCTGTCTCTCCCCCCCCCCACACACACACACACACAGGTGGGTACCATTTCTGAGTCTTATCATCCTGGCTATTCCCCCACCCCAGTGATTCCTTAAGAATCCTGCCCCACCCAATTTACAGGTCTACCCAAGCAGTTTCCAGTGGCTTTTCCATACAAATGGCCTGTCTTGGCTTGCTGCATGCAGGCTTTACTAAAAAGTCCCTCAAAGATTCACAAACCCCCCAAAAAGAACATCTGGCCTTGGCATGCCCCATACCTCTTGCTAAGTGTCCCAAGGCTTGGCACTAGTGTCAGCCAGCTTGGGTTCACAGTTTGGTCTTTCCCAGGCACCTCCTAGCCCAACACAAGTAGCAGCCATCTGCTGATCATTCTGTAGCTCAAGCTGGGTGGCCCTGGGCAGGGCACAGGCAGTGGCTGGCCTTGGCCAGTTCATCTGGTGGACAGCTTCAATCCACACAAAGCACCAAGCAACTACCTCCATGAGCAATACACTCAAGGGGCGGACTCATTGGGCACCAGAGCCCTGCTGAAGCAAGTCCTGCTCTATGGAGTTGGCACCTGCAAAGCAGCTCCTCTGCTGTGCTCTCAGCCAGGACTCCCTTCCAGCCGGTCTCAGGTAAATCCCTCCTGTTTACCCTGCCACTGATGTGCGAGCATCAGTCAAGGCTCAACAGGGAAGGGGTATATTTGGAGTGCCAGGCTCCTGTGACAAGGGATACTGCACCACAGGGCCATATAGGACACCTACTATACAAGGCCACTCTTTTAAGATTGGGAGATGTAGCAACTCTACCTAACAAATAGAAACTGCCAAAATGAGGAGACAGCAAAACATAGCCTAAATGAAAGGACAGGGAAAAAACTCCAGAGAAAGAACTAAATAAAAAGGAGACAAGCAATCTACTAGATACAGAGTTCAAAACACTGGTGATAACGTTGCTCAGTGAACTTAGAGGAATAGTAGATGAAATTAGAGAGCATTTCAGAAGATACATAAAGAACATAAAAATAGAGATAGAAAACATAAAGAACCAGTCAGAAGTGAAGAATACATTATAGGGAATCAACAGTAGAGAAGATGAACCAGATAATCAAATCAGCAATTTAGAATATAACAAGGCAGAAAACACCCAATCAGAACAGCAGAAAGAAAAAGGAATACAAAACTTGAGGATACTGTAAGGAGCCTCTGGTACAACTTCAAGGGTACCAATATTCACATCATAGGGATGCTGGAAGGAGAAGACATAAAGCAAAAGATTGAAAAGCTGTTTGAAAATATGACAGAAGCTTCCCTAACCTGGTGAAGGAACTAGACACACAAGTCCAGGGAGCACAGAAAGCACCAAACAAGGTGAACCCAGAAGGCCCACAGTAAGGCACATCATAATTAAAATGCCAGCGGGTAAAGACAAAGAGAATCTTAAAAGCAGCAAGAGAAAAGCCGTTAGTTACCTATAAGAAGTGCCCAAGGGATTAAGAAGTACAACAGAAACTTTTTAGGCCAGAAGGGACTGGCAAGAAATGTTCAAAGGGATGAAAAGCAAGGACCTGCAAACAGAATTACTCAGCAGAGCTGTGATCTAGACTTGAAAGACAAGTAAAGAGCTTCTGAGGCAAGAAGCAGCCAAAAAGTTCATCACCACCAAACCAGTATTACAAGAAATGTTAAAGGGTTTTCTTTAAGAAGAAAAGAAAAAAATATGAATAGTTAAATGCCAATAGATACTTATCTATCAATACTTACTTTAAATGCTCCCATCAAAAAACATACAATGGCTGAATAGGTATGAGGTCAAGACCCTTACATATGCTACCTATAAGAGACTCACTTAAGATCCAAATTGAAAGTAAGGGCATGGAAAAGATATTTCATGAAAATGGAAACAACAAAAAAATGTTGTGGTAATAATACCTATACCAGACAAAATAGACTTCAAAAACAAAGGCTATAACAAGGGCCAACAAAGGACCCAGCAAAATAAAAGGTTTTTTTTTTTGTTTTTTTATATTTTATTTATTTATTTTTAGAGAGGGAAGGGAGGGAGATAGAGAGAGAAACATCAATGTGTGGTGCTGGGGGTTATGGCCTGCAACCCAGGAATGTACCCTGGCTGGGAATCGAACCTGGGACACTTTGGTTCCCAGCCCGCGCTCAATCCACTGAGCTATGCCAGCCAGGCTAGGTTGTTTTTTTTTAATATCAGATATTTTTGTTTTGACATGAGTAGAGATCAATAAATACATTGTTTTTTTGTTTTGTTTTTTAACCACACACCCAGGACATATGATATGGCTCAGGGTATGTTTATTTAAGCAGTCATTTTCCAGAAATTTAAAGGACAGTATACCATGCTGTTAATGGTTGCCTCAGTGTGGGGTGGATTATGAGAAGGAGTTGGTCTGGCCTTGTTGGTCTTGTGTTATGACAGTCCTGGGTTCTCAGAAGGAAGGGGGTAAATGAATCATGGGGACCGTTGGTCTGCTCAGCCAATAAGGCACAGCTCCAGAGGGAGGGGTCCCAAGCGGCCCCCACAGAAAGCATAGCTTCACCTACAGTCACACCCATGGGGGGGAGACGCTGAACAAGGGCCCCACATACAGATGTCCTCCAGTTGTGCTTTGAATTGTTCTGGAAAAGATCTAGTATGTTTTATGGTTATTGGTGTTGATTACTCTTAAAGTTGTTAAAGAAAATGTCAAGTTTGTGGCACTAAAATCAGTTTGGGAAGTTTTTAAAGATTTACTAGGGTTCCAGAGGACTTTGGAAAACAAAGTAATAGGTTTGTTTGTTTCTTCAGATATAATGAAATCTAAAAGCAACCCTGACTTTCTAAAAAAGGACAGATCCTGTGTGAGTCGGCAACTCAGGAACATCAGATCCAAGGTGGGTCTGGGATCCAGGGTTGGGTATGTGGGGCTCACAGAGGTCGGCAGAGGTCAGAGAAAGGAGCACAAATCAGAGCCCAGGACAGGCAGTGGTGGAAGGTTCCCAGGGCCTAGAGCTCGCCTGGCCCCACATGCTCACCCTTTGGCGCCAGCTCTGGCTTCCTATCTCCCTCATGCAGCAGTGGAACCAGCTCCTACAGACACAGTGGGGGGGCTAGGCCTGTGAGGAGCAAGGAATGGAATGAATTCTACCTTACACTCCCCTAGTTGAATACTGACTCTACCTGCCTTTGGGAGAGGAAGCTGCCTGACCCCTTCTCCCAACCTCATAGTAGCAAATCCCCAGTGATCAGTCCCTGCCCCACTGCCGCTTCCACAAGAGAACGACGGGCGGGGGTGGGGAGTGATGAGCATGTTGCTTTTAGGATTTATTGTGTGTGTCTTATTTTTTGCTCTTTCCTCTGACAGTCCGTAATTGAGCAGGTCTCATGGGATAACTGAAACGAGCCCGCTTCCAGGTCCCTTGTCATGTAGGTAAACCACCTCTTACCTTCCACCCACCTGCTACCCTCCAGAGGGTGCCACCTGCATGCACTGCTCACACCTCCATAGCAAGCTCCTTGTTTTATTGTGACTTTGTTTAATTCATGATGCTCCAGCAGGCACATACACAATCCAAGTGAAATTACTTTAACCTGTTCTGGAGAGTTAACTGGCACTATAACCTTGTAACAGACTTGACCCCTGGTGGAGAGGAGCTCCCCTTCCAGCTTGGTGAGCCAGCCCACAGAGCCAGCTTCATGGGTGGACTCAGGCCCGGGTCCAGCATGCATGTCAAATGCTCTGTGCACTCCAATTTCTTGGGGAAAGCCCTCTTGCCTTCTGTCAAGAGGCAGGCTTGACCCACCACCAGCAGCCACTGACAAGTAGAGTCTGCTGCAGAACCCCCACCCAATCTACGGCTGAGGCAGGGCCAAGCTGGGGTATGCAGGGAGCCGATCCCTCATGGGTTTAGCTTAGGAAAACAGCTCGGCAGAGCAAAACAACCACACATTATTGGGGTGCTTCACCAGGACATTTTTAACAAAGCAGAAGTTTTTCACTGGGTACCATTAAAGGCAGTGCTATAAAAAAAGGAGGTAAGGACACTGAAGAGCTGACTGAGACATCCATCTGTTTGAAAATGACCAAGAGGACAATGGCACTCAGCCTGGACCTCCTGGTCTCCACAGGAGGGCCAGGCATCTGGTCGCATGGTCCTTCACTGTAGACTGTGCTTACTGGCCTAGCTGGTCTGACCTCACTCACTCCCTGGTGAGGGGCTAGGGCCAGCAGGAAAACCACATGCTGGGCCAGGCTCCTGCCATAGGTACACTGACTCCGCCTCGGGGCCAGACAGCACAGGCTCCTTCTCACTTACCCACAGCTCATCCTCAGTCCGGACAAGCCCCATCCTCTGGGGTGAAGGTTTTGCTCTTTAGGAAGAGCTTTATTTTGTTGATATTTTATTTATTCTTCTGCAGTCATAAGCCACTTGTGACCAAATGTTGTTTAGCCTTCATTGAAAACTTAGTTGCAACTTTTTCACTTTAGACATGAAAAACACTGTTTAGCAAAAGGAAAAATTGTTATTTGGTTTGTGGTATTCTTGAAGATTCTACTCATTAGAGGCTTAACTGCAGCCGCTCTAAGTTCCCCTGTGCCTATAAATAACAGGTGACACAGCTTCTGCTGGGACCCTTCTAGGGAAGCCTTGCTGCAGTGCCCACCTTGTCAGGGTGGGTGGGGGGTGGGGGTGGTCCTGGGGCTCTGGATGAAAGGCCAGAAAGTCACTGAAAAGACCTTTGCAGCAGGGTACACAGGAAGAACCTGGTACACTGGCCAGGACCAGCTAGAACCAAGGTAGAAAAAGAAAACTGTTAGGCATACCCAGGGAGGGTCTCCCAAAGAAGGGTGTGAGTTCACATGTGGCTTGACCGTGAGAAGACCCATGGCCACCCTGGCCAGGACTCAGCAGTGTAAGAAGAAAGGCCTCGCTGTGCAGGGCAGTCCTGCTGGCCCAGGTAAAAAGGTGGGGCCTTGCAGATGACCTCATGGACATCTTTGGTGACGCCAGGCAGGTCAGCAGGCACTCCGATGAGGGTTTGTGCTGTTTTTTTCTGTGAGTGTATTTGGAGACACCACCCAGCCCCTACGGGAGGATGAGGATGAAGTCGTCTAGAAACTGAATCTGTCACTGGTGCTTTTTGACGTGGGATCTAACATGTATGGACTTACATCTTTCATTTATGCTGTTTCAACATCATGCCTCACGTAAAAGTATGAAGTCTCAGCACCGTAAAGTCAAAGCAAGCTTGTTGCTTAAGAACAGTGCAGCTTTCACATCCAGAAAGCATGTTTTCCTGGGGTCTTCATAGATTATTTACTAGACACACCAGCCCTGTGGGAGGAATGAGCCCTAAGGGAGCTGGCTGCATCCCAAGGGCCCTTCTCTGGGTACACAGGGAGGCGGGGAGGGTGTTGAACAGCCGGAATGTGCGGCAGTGCATGGCACTGAGTGTGAAGACTTGGACCTGTCATAGCCTGGACTACCCCTCTTCGCCCTGCTCCCCAGCTTCCTGTCCTTGAGCACTGCAGGGATGTCCCTCAAGGGTGTCTGGCAGTGTGCAGAGGATGCACGCGCAGAGGCAGGACACTTACCGTCCCTCAGGTCTTAGGAGTGGTGGCTCACTACTGTCTCAAGGGCATGTCCCCAGCCAGAACAGAGCAGCATGGCACAGGACAGGGTGGCCTTCTGCAGGGTGACCCCACCTGTGCCCAGCACCTGGATGAAACACCTGACAGCACTTCCTGACCTGAAGTGCTTAGGAAAAGGGACTCGAGAGGATTTTAGGCCTTGTGTGCATTAACGGAAGTTCTGGTTTGGAATAGGATGTGGATCTCTTTCTATTCTCTGACCCACTAGTGGCAAGCTTCAAAAGTGACCCCAATGTGGAGGTCCATCTGGACCAGTAAGTTAGAAAAGACTAGCTGTTGGACCCCTTGTTTTTTTATTTTTAAAGTCACTTCATCCATCATTTACACACACACACAGCTCCACAGTGTAAAAAGCAAGCAGAGCTGTTCTTGGTGAGGATGGGGGACACCAGGGCCCAGCACACTTCCCTCAGACTTCGGAGGAAGCTCGGTCGCACAGATCCCCTCCCAGTGCCCACTCTGAAGCCACAGGCTGGGCTCTCCAAGCCTGCAGGGCCAACGGATGAGATATGTCACTGAAACTGGTGTGCCCTGCATTGGGGCCAGCCTTGAGCTGCATGTGTCTTATCAAGCTCTCTTCGTCAGCTCTGGCACACAGAAGCTGGGGGAGCTGGCTTCTTAGGGTCCAGTGTTGAGATTTGCAGGAAGATGCGATGGGTAACCAGGAAGCCAGGCCTGTCCCAGCCAGTGCCGGGATTCCACCATCCTAGTCATGCTCTAAAGTGATGCACTTTTCTCATCTGGAGATTAAACCCAAGAGTCAAGTATCACTTGTAGTGAGACACACAGATTTAAACTTTCCCAGGGTCCCATAAGAACAGTGTGTTGGTTTTACATTTTGAAAATCTTAGTAGATATGTCAACATATTCCCAAATCCCCATAACAGTAAATCCAGCAGGGTTTCTCATGATGGGAGCAGGGGCAAGGGGTGAGTCTGAGAGCAGGTACTGCCAGGGGCATGCAGGCGGGTCCCTGGCCTGCACTCTGGCAGCAGTGCTCCAGGGGCCCTAGTCCTCCTGGCACTAGGCCTCTGGGTAATGATGATTGCCCGGGAAGCAGACGTGGCGGGGCCCACACTCAGGAGGACATGGAAGGCTACTTCTCTAGTTCTTGGCACAATCTTCTTTTCCTGGCTGAATTGGCCTAATAGCTGCTTATCTAAAGAGCCCTAAGCTCGGAATTCAGCTTCTTACACTCAATGGTCTTCTTTCTCTGATTTTTTTTCCCTTTTTCATCCAGATAACACCATTTCACAGGAGGCTACTCTCTCCTTAGCATGCCCTACTAATCTCTGAGGAGTTCTTCCCACCCCCGCCCTACAGCTCTCCGCTTGCAGCCTGTACCCCAGCAATAGGCCTGCTGGTTAACTGGTTTTCTCCTGGTCTCTTCCCCAGAGTCTGAAGGAAGGCTTGACGGTGCAAGAATGCTTGAAGCTCTTTGAATCCAGGGACTTGAAGAAAGACTGACTGTCCTATTCCGATTGAACACACACCCTTCCCAGCTTGTGGCAGCACAACCCAAATGCTACTTTTCGTCTGTACCTTTATTTTTATTATTATTATTATTATTATTGTTATTGTCATTATTAACTGTGGGTATGGATGCATGAGAGACTAGTTTATGGGTTGTTCACACCATTCCCTGCTGTGCTGACTCCAACTTTCTACTGTCTCTATCTGACCTTTTATTCTACGGTCTTCTAAAACAAGCCGAGCAGTGGAGGCTGCAAGGGCCATCTGCTCTAGCTGGGTCTGTGTTGGGAGTCCCTGCTGTCATCTGCCTCACTCACTCACTGTCAGTATTAAGGCCCAGCAGCCTATCGATAAGCTAGCTCTGTCTCACCAAGAGCACTGGGGAGGGAGAGAGAGAGAATTGGGCTCAGGGGGCTGTAGCTGCGCTGCATACTGGGTCCCTTGGAGAGACAACAAGCTATTGGGATGTGGTTTTCCCTAGATCACAACACAACTTGCTAGCTGTGGGAGGAGCTGGGGGAGCAGGGCGAAGAGTGTGGTGTACACCACCTGTTAGCTTGGGGGAAGGTCAGCATTTTATATTTGTTCCACTAATACAGCTTAGAACCGCACCCCAGATGATTGTGGTAAACTTTTCACAACCTTAAAAATGTCGAAAACAGCCTTTCCTATTTTTGTTTGTTTTTTATTAAATCTTGCACAAAACCCCACCCCTCTCATTCCTTCCTCCGCTCGGTCCTTTCTTGGTCACCAGTCTGGTCTTTCCATACCTGCCTGGCCTGTTGACCTGTGGCCTGGGGTTTCAGACTGTAATTGCCAATAATGATGAATTCCCCCAGGGTATCATTTGTGGGGACAGGTGATTTATCTCTGTAACCTCTTTGCAAATAAACCCCATGTTACTTTTGAAAAGGTTAGGGGAAGACCCCTATGTTAAGTTCAGGAGAAAGTGCAGAGGATGTCAAAACCAGACGAGAATGGCCCATTATTTTGTGTTCTTAACTCTAATTAATCTGACCCGAAGAGTTCTCTTTTAGCATTTAGAGAACCTAAAGTAAACCTATACTAATAATTCTGATTATTTAGCAGTTTGAGTAAGACCTTTGTAACCACCACAAAACACTCTACAACACTTCTTATAAAGACCGTAAACTGGACTTTTTCTTTTGGGCCCATGGCAGCTGTTCATCCTGAGATAAGGGTGTAACAGAACCAAGGCAGGCCAGCTCTGCTGCCTTAGCAGCGAGAGGCAGGCTGCAAGCAGAACATTTCGGGGAGCTCCCTCTGGCCATGCTGCATCTGTCTGTCTGTTGATTGTACTACTGGCATGAGTTTGATAGTCTGTGGGTACGCAGATACTTGAGGATAAAAATGTAGAAGTGTCTTGCTCAGTTTCTAGATTAGTGAACAAGGTCATTTGGGAAGAGCTCCAGAAAGGCTAGACAAAAGGCCCTTGCTTGGTGCTCACTGCTCACTGCAGTGGCTGCAGAGGTCCGTGCTGGCCTTGGCCTTCCCTGTTCACACCTATCACTGCCTTGTGTGAGGCTTTCTACTTCTGTGGTTTTTTTTTGTTTTACTTCTTTTTGCCCTTTAATCCTCACCTGAGGACATCTATTGATTTTTAGAGAGGAAGAGGTCGGGGGGCAGGGGGTGCGGAAAAGAGAGAGAAACATTTGATTGGTTGTATCCCATATGCACCCTGACCAGGAATCAAACTTGCAACCTTGACGTGTCAGGATGGTGCTCCAGCCAACTGAGTGCCTCCCAGTGAGGGCTCATCTATGTTTTCAAAAGGTCAGCTCTGTTTTTTAAATTCTACTTACCAGATATCCCTTGACATGTAGATTGGCAGTGTTTTTAAAGGACGGTGATCTTTCTGTATCATGTTCAGAATGGGAGTGAGCAGAAGGAATATTTGGGACCTGCAGTCCTACTCTCTCCAGCAGGTGTCCTCTGGGGCAGAATGCTGTGACACTCAGCAGATCTGAGGGACAGGCCTGTCTACCTGGTCCTCTGTGTGGCTATCTGGGCACTAGGGTTTTATGTTGCTCCTTCTGAGAACTTGCCTTATCAAGCTGGTGTCCTTTGTGAGTGCCCTGCAGCCTCAAGGACTCTTCTCACCAGGCAACCGCTTCCCTCCACCTTCCCTGAGGTTTCCAGGCAGGTCCTGCATGGAGTCAAGCTCCATCTGCCTTCTGTTGTGAGGGTTTGAAATCTGCAGTTGAATAGGTCAAAAGAGCATTCGTTTTACTAACTTGTCCTTTGACATGAGATCTCAGGAATCCTGGGGAACAAATGTGTTAGGTATAGCATTTGGGGGTCAAAGAGAGACTGAGGGAGACCTCTTATCATGGTGGCCTCTGTAAAGGACTCTCCCACTCACCCCAGAACAACAAGACTCGTTTGCCAGGGGCTGATTCAGTCTGGGGTTACCAGGAAATGGACTGCGAATGCTAAGGTAGCTGAGAAATGGGGGCACTCTGACAAAAAAGCTGGTTGTGCTGCAGCCTCCCACACAGTGCGCGGGCCTCCCTTGGCCTGGCTGAGTGCCATTTCATGTTGACGACAACTGTGAGCCTCCAAGCCAGGGCTGGGTGTCCCGGTGCTCAGTCCTGGTCTCCAACTAGAATGAGCACACAGGACAGAACAAAGAGGGCCTTCACTTCCAGCCTGCGTGTCCTACCATGGTCCTGCCACAGTCCTTGCTATATGGTGTCCTCCGTGTGTTCCATGAATCCACTAAACCCCAGGGAAGAATTTAGCCACCTAACCAACCACTGAGGAGAGAAGGAATAACAGTGTGGAGGTCAGGTTGGCTTCTGTATTGTTACAGAAAAGTCCTCAGGTCAGGCCTGAGCCACCACTGGGACTGTGGCCAGGGGAGCATAGGGAACGGTGAATCCCAGTACTCTGTGCTTGCTGCTCCCAGCATGAGCCAAGCAGCAGGTGCATCCCCCTCCCCAGAGAGCCAAATGTTAACAAGCACAACTCTTCACAGTTGTAACTATTTTCCTGTAAACATTTACTGCTTCATTTATAATCTGCTAGCACCTACACATAAACTGTGGCAAACATATTAATGGGAAAACTTCGTTTGACACTTCTGTGAACATACATACTAATCACAGCGTGCACGTGCACTTTCCAGTTCTTTTACCATTTGTGATGCCAGTACTTGAGCAGATCTGAAGGTTGTTATTTCCAGAGGACTGTGGCTATCAGTAGCCTCCCTGGCAGAGGCGTGACACTGGGTGGGGTGAAGTGGCCGACAGAGCACTTGGCCACTAGTAGTTGAAGTCTGTGCAATAAGGCATCAGGATGAGTCTGAATTTCTGGGAGGAAGTGCTGGCTGTCTTGGGAGGGGCCGCTGGAGGACGTGGTGGGAATGTGTGGGTTTGTGAGGAGCTGAGATCAGAGGACGTTCCCTATAAGTCCTGCAGTGTCCAGATCCAGTCACTTGCTCACTGACCCAACACTAAGCGTCAGGGGCCTCGCACAGGCCACACTTTTGAAGAGAGGAAATTGCAATTTTTAAAAGACACAGTTGTGACTCTTGGAATCTGCCTGAAAGGAATTCTGACCAAAAGGCCAGGAAACAAAATGGACGGCCTAAAAAGCATTTTCTATGGAGATGCATTTATACCATTTGTTTCACCACAGGGGGAGGTGGGACATGGTCCTTTTATCACTGTTGCCTGGGGTTCCTTTTAGCAAGTCTGTTTCTACACTCATCTTTGGTGGGGGGTGGGGGGGCGGGGGTCACAATGCCTGCCCAAACCCTGCAGGGCCTGGAGGCTGAGTGACAGCCCTGTGACCTCTTTTCTCTAGCTCTGAAATGACAAGGGTGTGCTGGTATCCTGCCACCTCCAGCAAAGGACCATGGTGCCCCAGGTGTAAGCTCTGTCATAGGGAGGAGCTGGCCAGGTGGTTCCCTTAGAAAAGCTTCTCCCTTCCCACACTTGCTGGAGCCCCCCCTGGTTCCTGAGGCCCAGGGCTGGCCTGAGCAGCCTAGGTCCCATTGGTGTAGTCAGCTGCCTGTCAGGCCTGTGGCCTCATTTCAGAGAGGGGGACAGTGGGAGCCTTTCCTGCTCCCTACTCCCTGATGCCTGTGTGGTGTCTTCACAGCTAACCACACTCAGCCGCTCACTCACTGACTGACATGTCTAAGTCTCAGACAGTTCTTTAGGGATTCAAAACTGTTTTCAGTTAGAGTGAAGAAAATATGACCCATCAACATTTATTTTTGATGAAGTAAAAGTTCACACATTATTGTTCTAAGGAAAGTTGGAATTTAACATTTTCATTTATAGACACAATTTCAAAAAGGATTCAGTCACTCCCTTTATCACCAAAAGGGGTGGGGTGGGATTTTAAGTATTTTCAAAGTTTTACAAAGGACAGGGAAGTATGTAGTATTCTACATAAAAGGAATTAAATGCTAGAAGAAAAAACTTGGCACATTAATTGGAAGTTTCACTTCTCTGGAAAAATCAGTGGAATATGTCATACCCTGAAAATCCTGGACAACCAAGTTACTGCAGTGTTTTATGTTAAATAGGAATTTGCTTTATAAATAAATTTTAACTGTTGCCCTAACATTTTCTCTACTCGGTTGAGATTAGTGAACAGTCCTCAGTGCCCTGGTCCAGTAGCCTCCACTGGACCTTTATGAAAGGACTTGGGAAGAATGCTGCTGAAAACTTTATTCTAAAGGCCCTTAAAATTAAGGTATTTGCACCCCATTTTTTCTGTCTTTCATCATAGGGTCTTCTCCCTTGTCATTCTTGAGAGAAGAGTTAGTTACTGGACTGACCAGCTGAGGGTCCCTTTCTCAGTCAGTCGGAGCCACCAGGGGACTTTCCACAGAGGTCATGTTTACAAGTTAACCAGTATGCAGACGTCTCTCCTCTGGCTTTTCCATGCCACCAAATCCCTAAAAGGCCTGTGCTCAGCCAGACATTAGACTTCTAATCCTAGAAAAGGTCTTTTTATTCACCTGAGACCAGGTCTAAAGGTCAAGTCCTTCACCAAGTAGCAGGGTGCTGTAGGACACATTTCTTCTTCCACAACAGGCCAAGTACTGCCAGTCCTCAGACTGCCCTCAAGAGACAGGATAGGGGGGACAGGATAGGGGGGACGGGCTGGTGCACTGTGTACAGTCTTGTATGTTCTCACATGTGTACAAACACCTTTGGCAAGTTCACACTTTTCGCAGTTGAAAACTTAAATAAGGATCAACCTTAAGTGAGGTCTAGTAAAACCTCTTTTCTTAGGTTCTGTCATAGGAAGATTTGACACAAACCCTGTATGACAGTTCACATTGTCAATTTCTCTTGTTTTGTCTACTGGAAAAGACCGGGCTTCACTCCTTGGTCCTTTTGAGTGCAGTAAGTTTCAAGTCTTGATGTTTCTCTGTAATGGGCAGAGGCCTACCTCCTCTGAAGTCTTTCAGCTGAAGACTCACAGAGCAGGAGTAATAGCTCCACACTAGACCGCTCCCAAGAATGGCATAACACACCTTGGGTCCCTTTCTTCTAGGTGCGACTTCAGCTACAGTACTGAGAATGGCTTCCAATTTCTCTGTATTTAAAAGAAGCTGTTGTTTTTTTTTTTTCTTCAAAGTAACCTGTATGTATATTATTCGGACTAAGCAGTGTAAATATTACTCAGAAGTTACCACAGGGTTTTTGTGACAAAATATTTTTTTAAATTATATACAGATAATTGCTTTTTAAGGTAGGGAGAACAGCTTTGGGTACAACATTGAACCCCACTCAACATTATAAGGAAACGCTTTTAATGACTTTATAAAAGCTTTGGTCATTGAACAGGTAGTTTTAAAGACTGTATACTGTATCTACAATAACGATGACCCCACTGCCAAACACTGTTTTTCATTGAAAAAACTCAAATACTTATTATTGGTAGAGCTATTTAAAGTCCTGGCAGGGGGAAAAAAAATCCTGGCTGAAAATTAAAAGAAGAACATGATGGTTACATCTTTACCAGACCCTTTTGTACAGTAATTTAAGACTTGTTAGGAGGCAGTTTTGGCATCAGGGGTCTGTCCCTGGGCAGCACTACGTGTGGAGTCCAGCCGAGCATCTGGGCTTCTCCAGCCCTGGGGTTGTATTGTTTATTAGCATAAAGGTCACAAAAATCAGAAAGCTGTTATTTCACAATACCCATCCAATAGGTAAGCAAGCATTTAGTCACAAAATACTTGAGAACTGGATGGTCCAATACGGGAAGATGTAGAAGTCTTAAGTAAACTCAGCAGCAATCTGAAATCACAGCACTGCTGGGGGCCTTCCCAGACGGAGTTGGAGTGTGCAGTGAAGGAATCATCAGATGTACTCGGCCAGCCTGCTGCCTTTGCGCTTTCCCCCTTTACAACTAACTATATCGCGTATTTCAGTTTTATAGAAAGCTAGGAATAGATTAAGAAGATCACTAAATTGTTATGTTTATATCACAAAACTTCAGTTAAAACAGATTTTAGGATTTACCTTTCATATTTACAATATATCTGCTGACTTATTGTTAGGATTCAAACCAGTTAAGAATTACTTCATGTGCTTTTCCTAAGTAATATTTACTAAGTGGTTCCTCAACTATTATAATCAGTGATTCTTCTATCAGGGTGAATGTCTCAATTCAGCTACTGAAGACAAAAACATACTATGCCAACCTGCTGGGAGAGCTGCTATACAAACAGTGAAAAAATGTAGATCACTTCCCTGGCGTGAGGAGTCTGGAAGTAAATTGCAGCAATGACTTCTGCCACTGCTAATTCTTTCAACAGGCAGGTGACGCATGTTCAAAGAACAAACTTGGATAAAGTAACTGGCGTTTAATTTCTGTCCTAATGCTAAATGATAATGTTCACCAAACTAAAGGTCACCTGCTGAAGAAAGCAGAGGCCTTAGGGGCCCAGGTGGCTCCTTAGCACACACCTGGGCTCCACCAGCAGCCCCGGGCCTGAGACAGCTCCTGGAAACAGACTCTACCCGGTGGGTCGTTCTCTGCCTGGCTGCTGGGGTCCTGAAGAGAAGAGCCTGGTCAGTGAAGATGCTCTCTGTTTTGGACAATTCAATAATGTGATGGTTTAGTTTTAGGCTTTTTTTTAAAAAAACAAAGTTTCTAATAAACTGTTCACTACAACTGAATTACTTTGTCAAAATATTTATTCCTTTGTGTGACATGCTAGATTTCTATGGCTATAGCTGATCATTTCTATTTTGTAAATACTACCTAACATTACATAAAGTATATCATAATAAACTATTTTTGCATCACCCTTTGCATGCTGTGAATGAGGTTTTGTTTAATGGAGGGACATATGCCGAATAGGCATTTAGGTCAAAAGTCAGAAACTGGTCAAAAACCTACAGATTTATAATGAGGTTTTTGCTTTTACTTTTATATCTGCTTTTTTTTAGTGTTTTTAAAGTTTTGGATTAGTTGTCAGCATTTTAAAATCAGATTTCACATAAAAATCCAGTTTTACATGTTTATATGCAGTGCATAGTAAGAAAAATTTTATATCCAGAATCTAAAGTACATTGGCTTAGTTACAGAAACCTTCAGAGGGCCTAAAGGCAACAGAAATACTGATGAGAGGAAGAACTATAACTATCCCATACCTGCCCCTTTATTAATAGATTTGCAGTAAAGCATTACTTTTCATTTCTAAAAAATGAATCGTATATAATGACCCAATACACACACACACACATAACCACAACCCAAAATTTCACAAAATAATGCACCCTTACTAGGATATATTCTGTAGTATACACTCATGTAAAATGTCTCTATTCGATTTCATTTAAAATTCTAGTTGTAATCTACTAAAATTTAAAATGAGAATTTTTTTCAATATTGCCACAACCTTTGAAATGAAATGTGAAAAGTGGGAATCTAAACTTTTATTCAGATAAACAAGAAAATTAAAGTCTGCCTACCTATTAGAAATCAACTTAAGGAATTTGTGAAACTCAAAAACAAAATTAAGTACAAACATGTAGAAGATACATATTTTCAGTGCTATTTGGTTTAAGGATGTTTCAGTAATTTTGTACTCATTAAAAAAGCTATTCTGGTCAACATACAACTAGTTTAATATGGTATTCTAATAACTAAATTTAACTAAATTTTTAAAGCTATGTAAGTGTAATTTAAAAAGTCAGATCTGGAAAATCCAACACCTTTTCATGACTAAAAAAAAAAACAAAACAAAAATAAGGAATAGAAGGGGACTTCCTCATCTGATAAAGGGAATCTAAGAGAGACCCACAGCTAGCCTCACAGAATGGTGAAAGACAAGGGTGTCTTTCCAGTGCAGTACTGAAGATTCTCACCAGGAAAACCAGAAAGGCTTCCATATCAAAAGGAGTAAGTAAAACTACCTCTATTTGCAAATGACATGATCTTGTATATGAGGAATCCACCAAAAAAATAATAAAAGTTCAAGTTTGCAGGATACAGGATTTCCTACACAATAAGAAATTAAATTTTACACACTAATAACGAGCAAATTAAGAATCCAATTCCATTTGTGGTACTGAAAAGAATATTTCTAAAAAAGTGTTACACTGAAAACTACAAAACATTGAAGAAATTAACACATTGTGTACCGCATAGAAATCTCTAGGACATACGCCAGGGACCGCACGTTTTTGGGCAAACTGCACGTTATTTAAATCATCTTAACTACAGATCATAATGCACTTTAGGTGTTGTTTTTCAATAATTATAACATTTTGATTTACAAAAACAATTAAACAACTAATTAAACAATTAAAGTTCCTAATACTTTTTTAACATATGGTACTGTGTAAAACATTTTCCCCTATGAAGAGGGACCAAACAAAATTTACCTAAGTGTCTAGATTCACTCCTTTTTCCATGGGCGGCACAAACTCTGCAGGCTCTTGTAGGAAATCTCTTCTTTCCACTCACAAGAATACACGTAGGTTCATGCTGCTTCATATCACCTGACAACCTTTTAGGTGGATCTTGACGAGGTGTTCTCCTTGCACCCCCAGGGGAAGGGCTGGACAGATTTGTCTCTGGTTCCGGAGAGCCTTCATTATTATCATCCATTATCCAGTCTCTCACCACCAATAGCAGAAACTGTTCTTCATTTCCTCTTGGCCCTTGTTGATAGTTTCTATTTCCTTTTTCATGTTGATATCATTTGCAGGGAGCTCATTGTAGCTTCCCTGTAGTTTCTGGTAGCGCATTGTGAGCTCTTTGAGCTTCTGACAATCATTGCTTTGAACTCAGTATCTGATAGTTGAGTTGCCTCTATTTCATTTAGCATTCTTTCTGAGGCTTCCTCCTTTCCTTTCATTTGGGGATTGTTTCTTTGTCTTCCCATCGTTTGTGAGACTCCTCCGATAGCAGAAACTTTATACTTCATTTTTGCTTGTGGATTGAGGTGCTCGAAACACGAGAAAACTCACAAGCAGTACGAAATGTGTTAAAGATTTAAGTAGATGGAAAGGCATTCCATGTTCATGGACTAGAAGACAAAATTATTGTTAGACTTGGAATACCCCCTAACTTGGTCTACAGATTCAAAACAATCCCGATCAGAATTCCAGATACTTTTGTAGAAGTTGACCAGCTGATCCTAAAATTCATATGGAAATGTAAGGGGACACAGAAAAGCCAAAACAATGTTGGAAAAGGAAAAGGACTCATGCTGCTGGGTTTCAAAACTTGCTACAAAGCTTCAGTAATCAAGATAATGCATATGGCCCCTACCTGTACGGCTCAGCTAGTGGGGCATCATCCACAAAGGGAGAAGTCACCAGTTCAATTCCCAATCAGGGGACACATCCAGGTTGCAGGTTTGGTCCCCAGTTGGGATGCATGTAAGAGTCAACCAGTCAGTGTTTCTCACATCAATGTTTTTCTCCCTTTCTCCCTATCCCCTCTCTCTAAATATAAATAACATCTTTGTAAAAAATGACAGTGCATATGGACTGACACAGATCAATGGAACAGAATTAAGCATCCAGAAATAAGCTCTTACATTCACAATCAATTAATATTCAACAAGGGTGCTAAGACCACTGACTGGGAAAAGAATAATTTTTTCAACAAATGCTACCAGGACAGTAGCTATCCACAGGCAAAAGAGTCAAGCTGGACCACCTACCTCACACCATACACAAAAATTAACTCAAAATTTACCTAAATATAAGAGCTACAACTGTAAGGCTCTTAGGGAAAAAAACAGGAGCAAGTCTTTGTGACCTTGGGTTGGACACTAGTTTCTTAGATACGGCCCCAAAGCACAAGCAACATAAGTAAAATCAGATAAATTGAGTTATATCAAAATTAATAATGTAATTTTCTACTCATTAAAAAAAAACAGGAAAAAAGTAATGGCAAACAATACCATCAAAAGTAGAAAAAACGACCCAAATGATGGGAAAAAAATATTTGCAAATCATATTTCTGATAAGGGACTGGTGTCCAGACTATATAAAGACCTCTTGTAACAATAAAAAAGCAACCCAATGAAAAAAATGGGCGAAGGATATGAATAAACATTTCTCCAAAGAAAATATATGAATGGCCAGTAAGTACATGAAAGGATGTTCAGTATCATTAGTCATCAGGAAAATGCAAGTCAAAACCACATTGAGACCACCTCATAGGCAGGCTATAACTAAAAGGTAACAGATAATTTTTTATTGGTGAGAGTGTGGAGAAAAAGGAACCCTCATACAGTGCAGATCAGAATGTAAAATGGTGCAGTCACTTTGAAAAATAGTCTTGCAAGTTTCTCAAGTGTTTGAACAGGTTATGTGACCCATCAATTCCATTGCTAGGTATTTACTCGAGAGAGGTGAAACCGTATGTCCACACAAGTGTGAATGTTTGTAACATTATTTGTAAATAGCCAAAAGGTGGAAACAACCCAAATGTCCATCAACTGATGAACAGGTAAACAAAACATAGTACATCCACACAATTGAGTATCATTCAGCTATTAAAAGAAGTGAAATACACATACTACAACATGAATGGCCCTTAAAAACATGGTAAGGAAAAGAAGACAAGTAAAAAATGCCACATATTGTTGGATTCGATTTATGTAAAATCTCCACAGCAGGTAAATCCATAGAGACAGGAAGCAGATTAGTGGGTATTGGGGAGTGACCACCAATGGGAGAGAGTTTCTGGGGTGACAAAAATGTTCTAGAATCAAACAGTGGGGATGGTTGCACAACTTCTTGGTTAATATACTATAAACCACTGGCTTGCATTCTTTAAAAAGGTGTATTTCATGGCATATGAATATTAATTGTAGTGTTCTTTTTAAAATAATCATTTGCTTTTAAAAAAGTATATTGATTATGCTATTACAATCGTCCCATGTTTTTCTCCCTTTTATCCTCCTCTGCCCTGCACCTCCGTACCCTCCAGCATCCCCCTCTCCCCCCGTTTAGTTCATGTCCAGGGGTTGTACATGTAAGTTTTGTGGCTTCTCCATTCCCTATACTATTCTTAACCTCCCCCAATTTTGTGCCTACTATTTATGCTTCTTATTCTCTGTACCCTTCCCCCCCCTCGCCACGTCCCACTGCCCCACTGATAACCCTCCATGTGATCTCCATTTCTGTGGTTCTTTTCCTGTTCTCTTTGTTCAGTTTTTGTTTCCTTTTTTAGGTTGATAGTTTTGAGTTTGTTGTCATTTTACTGTTCATAGTTTTGATTTTCTTTTTCTTAGATAAGTCCCATTGACATTTCATATAATAAGGGCTGGGGGGTGATAAACTCCTTTAACTTGACCTTATCTGGGAAACACTTTATCTGCCCTTCCATTCTCAATGAAAGCTTTGCTGGATAGAGCAATCTGGGATGTAGGTCCTTGCCTTTCATGGTTTTGAATACTTCTTGCCAGCCCCTTCTTGTCTGCAAGGTTTCTTTTCAGAAATCAGCTGATAGCCTTAGGGGAACTCCTTTGTAGGTAACTGTCTTCTTTTCTCTTGCTGCTTTTAAGATTCTCTCCTTACCTTTAATCTTGGATAACTTCATCATGATATGCCCTGGTGTGTTCCTCCTTGGGTCCAATTTCTTTGGGACTCTCTCAGCTTCCTGGACATCCTGGAAGTCTATTTCCTTTGTGAAATTGGGGAAGTTTTCCTTCATTCTTTGAAATAAGTTTTCAATCTCTTGTTCTTTCTTTTCTCCTTCTGGCACCCTATTGATTCAGATATTAGAGCATTTAAAGTTGTCCCACAGGTTCCAAATTCTCTATTTTTTTTTTAAATTC